TTCTTGTAGTGGCTTTGCCTGGCTTTGATATTCATGTAATACTGACCCTGTAAAATGAGTTTAAAGATATTCTCTCCTCTTCACTATTTTGGAAGAACTTGAAAGGATTGAAAAAGTTCTTTAAACTTTGGAGGAATTAAGCAGTTTGGTGGAATTTGGAAGTTGGTGAAATTAGCAGTGAAGCCATCAGGTCCTGGGCTTTTCTTTGATGGGAAACTTTTTATTGTTGGTTCAACTCTTTTGCTCATTATTATTTGACTAAAATATTTATTTCTTCATGATTTAATCTTGGCCAATTGTATGTTTCTGGATATTTATCCATTTTCTCTAGGTTATCCAATTTTTCCGCATATAATTGTGTATGATAGTCTTATCCTTTGCTTTCTGTTTTATAAGTTGTGATGCCTCCTCTCCCTGATTTAATTTTTTTCTATTTTTATTTGTCTAAATAAAATTTGACAATTTTGTTGGTTTTTAGAAAAGACAACCTTTGGTCTCATCTACATTTTTTCTTCTCTGTTTTATGTATTTCTGCTCCGATTTTATTATCAATCTTTTATTTTGCCCTTTATTTACAACTTGAGTTTCCCATATAAGAGAAACCATGTGATATTTAGGTTTGTGTGTTTGATTTATTTTATTTAATATTATGGTCTTGAGGTACATCTGATTTCCTACAAATGAATCACATTTACCTTTCTTTATGGCAGAGTACTAGTCCGTTGTGTGTAAATACAACATTCTCTTTGAGCATTCACCTGTTGATGGACATAAGGCCACGTCCAAGATTCAGCTATTATGAATTATGCTGCTTTAAATATCAGTATGCATGGGCTGGGGATTTAGCTCAGTGGTTCCGCTACCTGTCTCGCAATTGCAAGGACCTAAATTCGATCCCTGGTAGGAAAAAAAAAAAAATGAATATGCATGTATCACTGTGGTATGATGACTTTAAATCTTCTAGGAATAAAAGAGCAATATCTGGGTCAACTGGAATTTCTAGTCTTAGTTCTTTGAGGAATCTCCATATTAATTTCCATAGTGATTGTACTATATTACATTCTCATCAACAAAGCAGAATTTATTATTTGATTTCTTGATGATGGCCATTCTTCTTGAGGTAAGATAGAATCTCAGAGTTGTCTTAATTTGCATTTCTCTAATGGCCTGTGATATTGATAATTTTTTCATGTATTTATCGGTTAGTCATACTTTTCCTTTTTTGTGAAGTGTTTATTCATTTCACTTGCCCATTTTTTGATTAGGTCCTTTACTTTGGGGGTTCTAGTATTTTTAGTTCTTTATATATTCTAGATATTAGTCCTCTGTCTGAGAACAGCTTCAAAATTTTTTCCTATTCTGTGGGTTTTCTTTTCACTCTGTTGGTTGTTTCTTTCACTGTGCAGAAGCTTTTTAATTTGATGTGATCTCGTTTGTTGATTCTCAGTACTATTTTCTATACAACTGGAATTCTGCTGAAAAGGCCTTGCTTCCATCTATGACTCCAAGAATTTTACCTATTCTATCTTCTAGCGGGTTAAGTGTTTCTGTTTTAACACTTTGCTCTTCACTACATTTCAATTTTAGTTTAGTACCTAGTGACAGATATGGTCCTCAAAATGAGTAAGATCACAGAAAAAATAATAAAAGAATGAACAAATAAAAGGAAAAGAAGTCTGAGAAACTGTTGGAGCAAAGAGGAATCTAAGGAATTACATCACAATGATTTACAGTTATGTGATATCCTTGGTAAGACGCTGGAACAGAAACAGGGCTACAAGTAAAAACTAAGGAATCAAAACAAAATGCAGACTTTATTTGTAATAACACATGAATATAAATCAATTTATTGTAACAGACTGTCATAGTAATACAAGACGCTAGTGATAGGAGGAGTTGTGTGTGGGTAAATGGGAACACGCTATACTATTTGTAAAATTTTCCTGTAAATTTAAAACTATTCTAAAACAAAACACTTCTTGGTTTAAAAAATGTAATTTTTGAAAATGATTTATCATAGCTTAATCAGATGTTAACTCCAATTACCACTACTATTCCAAGTACAGTCACCTACTGGGGCAAATTAGCAGTATTCCTGGCATCTGAGAATGCAATTTTTTTATATGCTAACAAACAGTTGCTTTGAAGTTTGCCTAAAGGAAGATGACGTATGTGGATGTTAAAGTGATTAATATGAAAGTGGGTCGACTCCATCTCATTTCCTTCAATATTGGAGCCATGCATCTATTTATGAGTAAAAAATAGATGATATTATATTAAATTATATTTTAAAATAAACACCTAAATTTAAACAGTAACATCATGCTCTGAAAATTCAACAGTATGAAATGAAATCATGTGTTCTTTTTCTATTACGTTTCTCCAAATTTCTTAAGGCTGAGATTTCCAAATATTTCAGTTGCACTGATAAGATGTATGGACCTCACTGGAATTCAGAAATGTATTGAGTGGAGAGGTAACAAGGATGTGAACAATATTTGCTTTACTGACGTGTGTCTAACGAGCACTCTGAATGGCAGCAACTACTTGCCTCCCCCAATTCAGCTACAACAGTGTGCAGCTACAGCAGTGTGGCAACCATTTCCCGATTGCCCGATCACAGGGAGAGCTGCACGATGCTCCCAGAGTTCACCCAGGGCATGGTCAGATGGGTCAGCCCCCTGCTGCTACCCAGCTCTGTGTTGTTTGCTGGGAGTCAATCCTAGTATTTTAGATCAACAGTAATTCTGTAAACAGCAAACTTCCTGTATTAAATCACTTCCTTTACAAAATGCCTAGAGAAGATTTGGAAGGAAATTTCTGTTATTTTCAACTGCACAGTGATAAATACGAGGGGCTGGAGAGATGTAAGTAAATAGGATCTCATGGCTGCACACTAAATTCTGAAAACATTTCTTTTATAAACTAATGTGATCTATACAATTTTTTGAAATAAAATGTATTTTTGATTAAACTTTTGCTTCTCTTTCATAGGTATAATATTGAGCTATTTTTCTACTGTCAGGTTACAGAAACATGTTCACTGGCATGTGACAGTGGGCTTCAATTTGGTCCATGTCAGGGCACAGAGTGGACTATGGACAACTCACAATGGAACCCTTGGGTTCCCTCACCCTAGAGGGCACAGGCAATGAAGGAGGAGACTAGACAGCAGTGCCAAGACTAAGTTGGGCACAGCGTAGCATCCTTCCCTTTGATACTGTGTTGTCTTGTGCCCAGTAGGCCCTTTGCATCCCACAAGTGAATGTAATATTACATTCCATGGAGCAGAATTCATAAACTGATGTCCTACAGGATGGAACTATACCCCAAAATCATTTAATTTGGCCCAAATCATGTGTCCAGAAACTTCTGCACACATTGAAAAATGAGAGTATAATTTTTGTTTTTTTATTATTATTATTGAGTTTATTGGTACATTTTAGGTATACAGTACAGTTACATACATCATTGGGATCTTGTACCTTAACATGACAGGTCTTGGTTCTCATTTTGTCCCCTTGTCCCTGCCCTGCCTTTACCCCCACCTCACTTCTCTATTTACAAACCTTTGTTTCCATTTTTAATGAGAATATATTTTAAAAAGATGAATTTCTAGTCCTGTGTGAAAAATTAGATCTGATAACACTGGGATACCTTGCCATGTGGCAGTGAGCAACTGGGACTGGGCCCAAAGGGTTGGCTCCAATGCCCTCCATAGTCAGTCATATACCTGACACTCACTGTGACTGTCGTTTCACTTACTTACCTAATGCCTACTGAATTGTGCAGAGAGTGTTTCTTTCACAACTATACCTCTCCCTCCCGTCCAGCCTTACCTAGCATGTGCCCTAATAAAGTGTTTACTGAGTAAGTGAATGAATAAATGTAGAGTCAAGCCGGTGACTATTAATTATATTGCAATAACATTTATCAAATTCCCAGCCTGTGTCAGGCACTGAGCTCAGAGCTTTGCAAGAATCCTATCATTCATGTAGCAAACACGATGGCAGAGATGGTACAAAGTAGTCAAGGAAAGCAAATGGAAGAAAGTTATAATCATGGGGTTCCTTTATAAATGCTGTGAGATTTCAGCTGCAGAGACAAGAAGACGAGCCTTTTACAGGGCACGCCTGAAGAACAGACCCATTGCTACACCACAGAGCCCAGGGGAGATCAGGCTATGAGGAATGTAGGACTAAATGTTGAAACAAGTTACAGGCCTGGCTCAGAAATTTCTATCTGATCTAACACCCTGGCTACTATTGAAGCAGATACAGTAACAGTGGGAAGGAAAGATTCAGCTAGTAACAGTTTATATAAAGGATCTCAGATGGAAATCTTTGTGCCTTGCAAATGTAGCAAGTTTATACAAGAGTATTCACATGTCAAAACTCCTCAAGTTGTATAATTCAAATATGTGAAGTTTATACTATCTTGATTATACTTCAGTAAATATAAACAGAAAGCAAGCAGGCATATAAATAGCTGTATATGAGAGGGTATTTGTTATAGGAAATGGCTGACTGTGGACACAATAAAAGGCCTGCGATGACTTTTTGCAAGCTAGAAAGCCAAGAAAGCCAATAGCATATTGAGTCCAAGCCTAAATTTCTGAGAATGAAGGTGTCAGTGGTACGAGATCTGATTTGTTCCAACCTCAACGAACCAGAAGTGCCCATGTCTATGGGCAGAAAATTAGTGTCTCAGCTCAAGTAGAGATAGCAAAGTCACCCACCTGCATTTTCACTGTATTTGGGTCCCCAGGGGGTTGGGTGGGTGACACTATCCACATTGGGGACAGCCATCTGCTTTACTTATTTTACTAGGTCAAATGCTCTTACCTACTGGAAATACTCTCACAGACACACTCAGAAATATATGCTACCAGATTTCTGGACATCTTTTAGCCCAGTCAAGTTGACACATAAAAGTGTTGATCACGGGCAGCAGTGTTAAGAGAGCAAAAATGAGCTAACATTTGTTAAAATTCTACTAAGGTCAAGGCACCATGCTCCCTGCTTTATGGAAACAGCACTTCTGCAAGTGAAATGTGAGCACAAAAATTGAAACTCAGCACCTACAGTGAATATATAATTATGAAGAGGCAGAGGTAAGATTTGAACACAGGTCTATCCTGTGAGTCTATTTACCTATACCTAGTGAATATTAACATGGAATCTAGAACTGGCTTCTTTTAAGTAATGAGAAGTAGCAGGGCAAATTGGAGGGAGGATATGTATACAATATAATATCCAATCTAAAGACTGAGAAAACACTCCTCCAAAAACATTTCACATTGGTATAGGGTTATCGTATTGGGGGGAAAAAAAAACTTAAATTGACTGAAAATTTAGAGAAAAATTAAAAGGGAGAGAAATGAAGAAAAAAGAAGAAGAAAGAAAAGCGGGGGGGGGATGAGAAAGGGAGGGAGAGAAGAAAAAGGAAAGAAGGGAGAGGAAGAAAAACACTTATCTATAGGGCTTTTATACCCAATTCACATAATAAGGAGACTATTAAATGTTTTCACCTACCCATGTGTCACGAATGCCACTAGTTTCACCCATGAGAGCTAATTTGCAACATACATATGCTAGTAAATCAGCCAGTCATTTCCCCAGTGAATGCCTACTTCTAAGAGTTGTGTGTTAGTGGGTAATATTTCACCTAGGTGTCAACTGGAGGGGAAGACCACTGAACTCCAGAATGTGCACTTCCTTGTACAAATGGTATCATCCTCCTTACAGCAGAACTTCTCTTTGTGGAACTTACAGTATTGAAGAGTGTAACTGAAATGTATGCAGAATATCTCACTTCCCATCCTGAAGTATTCTAAAATAATAAACAGCATTCAGAACCGATTTGGGTTTATTTAAGTTAAAGGGTTTCATAATAAAATGTGAAATGCAGTGAATAACCCTACTATCAATATACCATCTTTGGGGGGAATAAAAGTTAATTTAAGCAGACTATCACTTTTTGTAGCTATGATGAATCCAAACTTTGATGTCGTTTTTGTTTTTTTGGGTGTTTTTTTGTTGTTGTTGTTTGTTGTTTTGGTACCGGGGATTGAACTCCGTTCCTTGCGCTTGCAAGGCAGGCCACCGAACCGCTGAGCTAAATCCCCAGCCCTTGCTGTGGTTTTTGAATTGAAAAAAGTCTGTTCTCTCATTCTGTCATTTGTTAGCAAGTGCTTCAGATTATTAATAGTTCATTGCAGTTGATATGTCTACAGATTATTGCCTTATTCACCCTTGCATCAGGGCATTTTGTTGATGCTTAATTTGAACTATTCGCCTAGAATTTTTATGTACTAAACTACAAACTTTATTAGAGCAAATGAGAAATGTGTAATGGTGCTGAAAAATAGTTCTTAATGTGGTCATACTTATGCTATCATTAATCAAGTATTATGTGGCCCGGAAATTCTCAGCTATTTCTCAATTATCTAGTAATATCAGTGTGTATTTCTTCCTATGATAGAGAAAATAATTATGGCTATAATTTAACATCAAGGAGAATTAGGCATAGATATATTAAGTCATACCATTTTCTCCACTGAAAATAGAGGAAAGAAGAATGCAGACTAATCTGCAATGTCACATCAGGAACAGTTTTGTGAAACATCAAAACAGGGAGTAAGAATATCCTGGTAGTAATTTTTTATGTAGCAAAATCTTCCCCCTTTCCTATGTTTATGGTTCTATATCCTATACTGCACAATAAAGGTCTAGGAAGTACAAAGGTAATCTCAGTCCATGAATCCATTTATTTACAAACAATTTGACTTCACAAACAGAAGCTTTTGGCCGAATTTTGTCTTTTGTTTGCTAACTCTTCATTGGGTAACAAACACAACCACGGCCATCTTTTCTGCAAGAATACAAACATGATATTTTCCACAATCGAATTGTTTGTGAATAGATGTACCACTCTGTGTCAGATAAGGTTAGAATAATTATCTCAAAGATCTTCCCACCTAGTCCATGGCTCTATAGAACTTATTTTTCACATGTGCAATAAAAATGAAGAATGCATTAGTTTCTTATTATATCATTCATTCAAAAAACTCTCATCTTTCATAACACAGGAAATGAAAACAGAAACACTTTTAATTACTACTTCATTCTCTCTTGAGACACTACTTTCAGGCCCAAGGCCATCAGATGATTACAAATAATTTGCATATGTAATTTTAAATTAGCATATTTTCATGAAATAATAGATATGTTCATTCCACTGTCATTACTGGAAATAAGATACAAGGAGTGAAGATGAATGGAGCAAGCCAGTAAAAGAGGAACAGTGATCTAATTCTGAACGTGCTAAATAATTGATTTTGTGATATGTCTTTATTACAGGCAAGCATCAAAAATAACTTTGAGAAATAAGGTAAGAATATTGGTCAGAATTGAATTAGTTTTCCAAAGAAAGAAGAACCCCTATTTTGTAAATGTACAGTAATTTTATCTTTTCACAAAACTTTTAATGCATTAAAATATGTAAAATTACTAATGTTCAACTTTTGCCTGAGAGCTAAATAGATAATTTACATTTTATGCAACTGTCCCTATGCAGGATTCTCAGGCAACTTGTCAGTGTATTGTAAATTTATCTTCCTCTATACTTTACCACAATAAAAATCATGTGTATTCTGGCTACTGCCTGCTATTTGATTGAAAATTGCATAAATATTCCCCAAATTATACAACTGTTTCATTGCAGAAGTTTTTCAGTCACTCTTAAATTTACAAGGTCAAAAATATTATATTTCATGTATTCAAGGTTCATAATGATTCATGGGTGCAGAGTGAAAGCTATGAAAAGTTGAACAAGAGATAAATACTCTAGAGATTTGAGGAAGCCTGGATAATTCCAGGAGGAGCCTTGGGGCTAATCACCATCCTTTATTTCTTTTTTTTTCCATTGAGTTTATTAGTACTTTTAAAGTATACTGTCCAGTTACATATATCATTGGGATCTTGTACCTTTACATGACAGATCTTGGTTCTCATTTTTTTTCCCTATACCGCTCAGCCATAAAGAATGAGAAACTACAGTCATTCATAGGAAAATGGATGCATATTGAGGCCATACTCTTAAGTGAAATAAGTAAGACACGTGTAAATACTGAATAGTTTCTCTGGTGTGAAAAACTATGTGTAAATAGATCCAAATTGCCACCCTTTCTTTTAACAGGAGAAAAGAATTGTTTAGCAACTCCAGGAAGAAGTAGGACTTGAACACTATCCTCACCTAACCACCCTTGGTTTCCTTCTCAACTTGCAGCAAGGCTCCATCTCCATAGTCTTGGATTTGAAAAATCACTAATGATTGAAAATAAAATGTCTTCCTGTGCTATCTACTCTTCTCTTGCAATCTTACCATAAGACCTTGATCCATGAGCCTGACAACTTTAATTTTCTCTATGTAATGCAGCATTGTCTAGCTCTAAAAAATAATAAGCCCTATGGAATAAATTATTCAGGATGTAATTCCTATCTACAAGAGTTTCATGACCTGAGAGCACCCACTTAACCTTCAGAATAATAGCATAGCTCAATCCATGTGCATGCGTGCACATACATAGCATGTAAAACATAGCACATTTCTAGTTTCACACTTGCATATAATAGATTTATGTACAATTACATTTTGTTGATTTTTGGAACTAGTGAACCAGATATGAACAACATTAAGAGAACAATGTTTAAAAACTATGTGAACTATTCAAACTACTGAAATTTTGCAGCAGCAACATTATTATAAATAATGTTTAGCAGATGTCAAGTGTTTACATGAAAATTATCTTTTGAACAATAGACGAACTAAAAACTGTTGCATGTGAAATTATTTTTATTTATTGAATTAAGGATATAATCAAATTTAATACATGTCCATGTCTCAGTTGAATGTTTATTTATTTGCTTGTTTATTTATTTTTGAAACACAGTCTCATTATGTAGTTCAGTCTGATCTTGAACTCACTATGTAGTCCAGGCCAACCTTGAATTTGCAGCAATCCTCCTGCCTCAGCCTCCTCAGTGCTAGGATTACAGATATGTATCACAATGTGTGGCAGTATATTCTAAACACTGAAATTGTTCAGTCTTTGCTAACTTTCATTCCAATATTAAAAAAAGCCACTATTTCCCTGTATTTTCATTTGTCTATATTCGGAATATATATTTATCAACTTTTATACCCTTTTTTTCTTAGTGATGTAGAATAATATCCTAGATCAGTGTGGTTCATGTTTCATCTGTGCACTGGGATTCACTCTAGATTGCAATTCCTCTAAAGTCTGAAAATGCTTTAAAAAGAGACTGAAAGAGCAAATGCCCAAAATATGAACATCAACACTAACTCTAGTATCAATTTCATACCCGTACTGACTCTGTGTCTCACACCAATACTTCTTGCATGTGAATTAGCCAGGTATTCTGACTAATTTGAAGAAGCTCCTTCTTGTAGGGAATCACACATTCCATCTTTGTTTTTTATATGAAGAAACTAAAATGAAGAAATTTCCATGACCAGTGGACTAAAAATTGATTTTAACCCTGTATTTGTCTGAATATAAAAGACATAAACTTTCTACTCTATCTCAGACAAAAACAAAGCAAATTATTCTTCACTTTAGAGCACATTATAAATATTCTATACTAGGTAATATAGAAAATTTTATTTTTTATTAACAAGTTTATTAAACTGAGGTCTTTTTAGTACTCTGTATCAAGGATTCCTAGCTTAAAATATTTCTAATTTAAAAAAAATTTTGTGAGGAGATAAAGGAAGGGCAGGGGTATGGGGAAAAATAAGAACCAAAATAAGCTGGGCACGGTGGTGCACGCCTATAATCCCAGCACTCAGGAGGCTGAGGCAGGAGGATCACTGTGAGTTTGAGACCAGCCTGGGCTACAGGTCAGTCTCAACTACATAGTGAGAACTTGTCTCAAAAAAAACAAAGATAATCATGTAAAGGTACGAGATTCTAATGATGAATATAATGAATATAACTGTACTCTATACCTAAAAAGTACCAATAAACTTAATGAAAAAAATATATTTTTTTGCTTGCTTCAACAGCACATATGCTAAAAATCTTTAAAATTTTTCCCATTATATCTCATAACATTTTACTTCTTTATATTCTCAGTTTTTGTTTCTTTTACACACAGGATTCTTTCTTCTCTCCTCCTTCTTGCTATCTGCTAGTGTTAGTTAATTCCTTTTAAGGATACTTTCTAAGATTGAGTGTCCTTTCTTCCCCACTTTTAGTCTGGTCCCTGTTTCAGGCCTACCAAGAGTTACAGTGTATCTGGTTCAGGAAAGAACAGGGCGACCAACCTCTTTCATCTTATTGTCCTGTACTTTGGGATTTTATTTTCCCATTCAGGCATAAGAAAAATCTCCCTACAGACAGGATCAAAAATTCATAAGTGTTTAATAAGTTCAAGGTTTAAAGTTGAAATCAATTTGGATTTCATATGGGGTCTCCAGGACAACAAGAGACGCCCTGGTTACTAGGAGGCCAGTATGAGCCAAAATTCAGAAATGAACCCATCTTTCAAGTCCTATTTACTAGAAGTTCCACTTTCTTTCCAAAATGTCCTATATAAATAGATAATTCACATCAACTGCCAATCAAGAAAAACAGGAATGAGACAATACTGCACATCTGTTAAAATGGCCACAATTCAGAAAGCCAACATCCAATTCTGAAAGATGTAAAAAAAAACAGGAATCCTCATCTGTTCCTGAGGAAAATGTAAAATGGTACAACCAGTTTGGAAAACAGTGCCACAGTCTCTTACAAAATTAAATATTATCTTACCCCTCAATCCAGTAATTGTGCTCCTTGGTGTTTATACATAGGAGATGAAAACTTAAGTCTACACAAGAGCTGCACACAGATATTTGTAACAACTTTACTCATAATTCTGCAAACTTGCCAGCAACCTAGATATCCTTCTTATGTGTATGGGGGGAATGGCACAAGTTGATGATGCAGGTATTAAAGAATTTACCAAAACCAGAATAAAGATAAAGACAGGAGTTTATTTAGATCGGAGTATACTGTAAAGAGGTACAGCAGGGGAGACAAAGGAAGGTCTGTTCATAGGTGGAATGGCTGTGTTGGTTTCTAAAGTAAAAAGTACAAGCTGGAGCCCGAGGACATAGGAAGAGCTGCTAGGGAGGACAGGAGCGTGTGTTCTTTGCCTCCTCTGGGCAAGGGATACCTGTCATCCTTACTGACAAGGTGTGGGTCTGGGCACAGGGCAAAGTAACAGTTATCCTTGTCACAGGAAGAAACACTCATGGCTATCTTGCTGCAAGGTTAAAAATGGCTCATCTTGATGCAGAATATGTAACCGACACGCGTGAGTCTCTGGATCGAAGCCGAAGTGGCCTCTCCCTCATCACCTGGCACTCCAAGCCTTCCATAGGTCAGAGTCTATCAGGAGTACGTCCGCCCAATGGAACTCGTGTAGCACCAAAAAGAAATTAACTATGAAGCCCTCAGAACACACAGAGGTGTCTTAAATGAAAGAAGCTAATCTGCAAGGCTACATATTTTATGCTCTCAACTGTATTATTGCACTCTAGAAAAGCAGAGCCATGAGACAGTAAAAAGAGGAGTGGCTGCCTAGAATTACAGAGGAAAAAGGGACAAGCAGATAGGGCACCGAGAAATTTTAGGACAGTGAAGTGCCTTAGTGTGATACTATAATATGGATAAATGTCATTATAATTTGTCCAAATCCATATAACACCAGGACGACTTTAGGGTAAACTGTGGATCTGGGGTGATAACGATGTGCTGATGTAGGCTTATCAATGCCTCAGTTTAGTGCAGGATATAGATAATGGAGGTTAGGCAGGTGTAGGTACAAGGATGTGTAGGAGCTCTGTACTTTCTGTTTAATTTTGCTGTGTACCCAAAACTTCTCTTTAAAATAAAGTCTATTTTTTAAAAATAAAATCATCTGGCTTTTTATTCTGGAGCCATTTTCTTCTGAGTATTCTCACCAGTGACAACTGACCCTGACAGTGATTTCAGCAGAAAATCTATGCGGTAGGAATGTCATTCATAGACAAACATGGTATTTTTCCCTTTGACACATTCCAGCATAAGAGCACCCCGGAGGAAGGCTATTTTCTCCATCAGCAGCAACTTATCTGCCCTTTGCTTTGAGGGTTCCCCATCTTTGTGCTTTTTAGGACTTTCAGTTTCTTTTCTTTTCTACTCTAGGAACTGAATAATATCTCACAAAACTCCATTAGCCTTGAATGTTTGGTCTTTGGATACTTGGGAAAGGGTAGTAATGGGGATTAAATCATTTTTATTCTGAGATCTTGTGATGGGAGTTAAGAATCAACAATAATTCTGGCCCTGCTTTATATATTAAAAGTATATTTAATGCTAGCCTTTGTATAAAAAATTTTATTACTCCCTGATTTAGCAGAACCAACACTGGAAGAAGTAGTACACATAATTTTCAATCACTTTCTTTGTACTACAAGAAATATTTTATCAAAAAATTCAATGTTTGCTTAGAAAACCTGAGAATCTCAGCCAGAAATCTAATGTGGAAATATATTAAGAAGTATAAAGCAAAACTAATAAAACTGAAATATAAGAGGTTCAAGGCCAAGCAAAGACCATTTCTCCTTTGATATGAATATCTACCACAGGCTGGTTTTAGTAGAAATTAGAATTCATTTACTAGAATTTGCTTCTTCAATAAAAACATGACATGATTAGCTATGACTGGAAGTAGTAGAACTAAAAGAAGGTCAAGAGCCTAATTTAGATAGAGAAGAAAAGAAAACAGAAGTTAGAAGAAAGCATACATTTATAATGTAGTTCACAATAAGTATCTATGTGTAAAATGCCTCTTGGGTATTTTTTGGTATCAAATAATAGGAACTAATATGTATGCATATGTGTTTGGCTTTCATTTAATCAGTCGCTCCACAAGAACTTGTTACAAAATGTTTTGCTGGCTTCGATGGAGCATAAAATGTTTAGAACCCAGTCCGTGGTTTCTTAAATTATTTATCCAGTGGATATTTTTCTACAAGGCCAATACACGTGTGTGTAACACTATAGTACATGAATGGTAGAGCAGTAGCCTGAAGCACTACCAGCCACAGTGGGTCTGTGCGCCATACCAGTGCAGGCAGTGAAAAAAAATAATAATATTAAAAGGCCAGAAGCTAGGAAGAATAGCTCTACTCCAGGCTGAAAATGAGGGCCTAATGAAGAAATTGACATTTT